TTTTTTTTGTATATCTGTCGATCTGTTATGAGTGAGACATGTCAGAAAAGTACTATGAGCGAGATCTAGGCTAGGTTCCGCAAAGTTTCGGCTTTCAAAAAATGCGATCTTGAAAAAAAAATTTGCGAGATAGAATAGAAATGCGATTTTCAGAAAAGAACTAACTCCTGTTTTTGAGAATATGGCAACCTCCGAATATGCCTAACGAAATGTTGGTAGGCTTCGCAAGATTTCGGTTTTTAAAAAAAATTGCAAGATAGAATGAAAGTTCGATTTTCAGAAAAGAATAAATCCGGTTTTCGAGAATATGACCACTTCTATCGTTATCCCAATATGCTTAGAAAACGAAATGTTAACCTCAGAAATTTTCAGCTATGTATGCGAAATATCAAAGAAACGAAAATGCTACTATCAGGAATTTTCAGATAAAGAAATTTTCAGATATGTGTTGCGCAAAAACGAAATACTAATATCAGAAATTTCAGGTAAAACGAAATGCGAGTATCATAAATTTTCAGATAGTTGTTGCGAGAATTTTTTTTTTCTAGAGATTTGACGAAGTCCTACTTGATTTACTAATGAGTGATCAATAGATCAAGCAAGCTGGCCACGTGATTGAGCGGGTCCTCTGAATGAGAGGTCCGCTGTCGGCGCGAATACCCTTACAGGGGTATCCGCTCTGGTTTTTGCAAGTGACAGAAAATAAGTTCGATTTAAAGTTTGAACACACCGCGCAAGGCGTGGCAATATCCGAGAGCTACGCTGACTGAATAATTGACCGAAAGTAGAGGGTGAGTGAGTGCGTAAGTTTAAGGCGCGCGTGTGATCTTTTCCTTGTGACTGTAGTGTCGTAGGGCGTGCATAGACGGCCGGCCTAATTTTCAATTGATGATTAGGTTAAGTTGGTTTATCACATTCCTATTCGGTGTGATTGACCGGCGGCAGGTCGGATGTACGAGGAAAGGCGCAGAACGGTCATGGTATGGCACGGATAAAGCCTGCGTGAATGTTTGGTGGCCGCGCGACTGGCCGTAGGCGGGGGTAAGGCCCGAAGTTGGGCTTTTGGCCTTAGAATCCAGCACGACACCGTTTTGTATAGGATTTCCCGTTTTGTATAGGATTTCACGGTTGGCGGAGGTACAGGGTTCGAGGTTAGCAGGCGCCGGCAAAGGAGCAGCACAGCGTTGGAAGGGCTGAGGGGTTGAGGGTCCCGCGGGACTATCCCCCTTAGTTTTGCCAGGGGAGTCCGATCGCGGGCCCGCCCTGCGGGGCCGGGGAAAAAGGTTGTGGTGATTTCCGCGCCTCGGTTCCCTTGGGTTTCTCGCCCTTCCCTGGGGTTGGTTTTAAATCTGTTATTAGCGTAGCGGGCACACCAACGAGTTGTTGAAGAACAGAGGGGGGGGGGTTCTCTATCCCACCTGTCGTGAAACTAACGGGGACCGAGGAGCTTAACGTGCATGCAAGCCGGCGGGTGATTAGCCAACTAGACGGGGTAAAACTTGAGTGGCGGGAACCCTCCGTAGGGGCACCCTCCGCCAACCGTGATCTGTTGTGTGAGGCTCGAGTTGAGCATGCCCGCCGGGCTCCATTGGCATTAGACTATGTCTGGGTAGCAGTTGAGGCACTTAGGTGGGGCACGGGCTCCATTGGCATTAGACTATGTCTGGGTAGCAGTTGAGGCACTTAGGTGGGGCACGCTGCGGCTCTGTTTTTGCTCAGAACCCTCTCTCGCTTTGGTTTTCAAAGTTCTCATTTGAATAATTGCTACTACTACCGGGATCTGCACCGGGACCCGCATCGTTAGGACATATGCTGCAAGTTCCGCAGCAGGCCGCGACCACAATGCGACAGTCCAAGTGGGAGTACACCCACCGAGACCCGAAAACGGGTGGACTGTACCTGGGCGGGCCAGGGTGCTGACAATAAGTCTACGACAGGGCGTCTGCCCGGACTGTGTAACTAGGACCTTCGTTTACCTCGGTCTTCAGGGCTCCTAGCTGGCTAGGTTCCATTACCACTAAGAGTTGTGCTAGACCCGGTCCACCGAGGCCTGTGCTTTGGCCTTGCAACAGGCCGCGCCCTCGACTATGTGGGCAGTTGTCTGAGTAGGAGCCTTAGTTGCTGGAGGCCCGAAAGGTAGGGCGGGTCAGAAGAACTCGGAGGTGGGAAGTGACGTTACTACTGCATGCGAGTTGTTCGCTGGACTTGGGTATAGGGGCGGACAGACTTATTGCACCGCCCAGTGGCTGGTTCCGCCCGAAGTGTCCCCTAGGGCTGGCGAAGACCGTTTTCCCGTTCTGTTGGACCAGGCTACTGAGCTGGCCTGATGATGGTACAGGAAGGCCGGTGCGTTAAGACGCTGTGCGCGGAGGGGCTCCGTGTAGAGATCCGCAGCAAGACTGCTGCAGATTGAGTATCGGGCTGGTCAAGGCGAGGCAGCAGGAGCTGCGCCAGCAGCAACAGGCAAAGCTGCGGAGAGCACCGAGGGCCGATGGCAAAGGGCAGACCAACGAGTCTCCGAAGTATAAATCAAGGAGCAGCGCCCAGCCATTCATTGATTCCTGCGGAAGTCATGCGGGAACGCTGTCTCAGCGCCTTGTGTAAGGTCTGCAGTATGCCTGAAGGTCGAAGTGGGCAGAGAGAAGGTAGTGTTAGGTAGCAGCGAGCAAGGAGAGCAGCCAGCAGCAAGGCAAGGACCAACAGGCGGTGAGGCGGAGAGTGACGGGAGGGGCAGGCAAAAAGAAAGAGAGAAAGCTGGGAAACTGAATGAATTTGGACTGGTTTCTGTGTCGGATACAGGCGCAGAGGTAGACAGGGCGCAGGCGAACAAGGAAATGAAGGCAGAAGAAATTGGAAAGTGAACCGGAACGGAGGTGCCGCCAGGTGCATGCGCGAAAAGGGTAGAGATGGTGGAAGGAGCTGGGCGCAGTCGGGGAAGCCAAACTCGCCCGTTCCTTTTTGAAATCGGGCTCTGAAGGAGGCGTTCTCGCGGTTTCCGGGTCAGGCGACTGCATTAGCGATGTTAGATTCGGTGTTAGCGGAGTAGATTAGGAGGTAGTAAGGGGATGGCGATGGGGGAAGAAGACGTGAGGGCAGGAAAAGTTTGATCTCACCCGTTTCTTGATGGAAACAGGCACGGGAGGATTCATATTGAGGGTTTTTCGGGAGCGCGATCCCGATTGTGAAGTCAGGACGGACGCAAAAGTAGTAGAGGGGGATGTGGTAGAGAAAGGGGCTGCGTGAGAGTATCGGGAGAGGTGGATATGGCAGGGAGTGAGAAGCTTAGCCCATCCGATTCATGACAAAATCGGTTGAAAGGAGATGCGTTGTGGGAAATTTGGAGGTGGGCGAATTCAATGGCGGTGTTAGTTTTGTTAGTACATTAGTGGAGAGTTAGATATGGGGAAAGGAGGCTGCGCGCGGGAGGAACTTTGTTTTTTTTCTCCGTAAAATAATAACGTATTCTTCCATGATCTAGCGCAAGGTTCATCACGATTTTGCTCCCCTAGCCAGCGGCGGTAGTAAGGAGCCAGCCGCGAGCCAGAGGGTTACCTTGAATCGAGTTGACGGGCGTAGCGCACGGGCGCTTGTGCACAAGTAAGCGGAGGATTGAGACCGAGAGGGAGAGAGAGAGAAAGAGATAGAGATGCTTACCTGTCGCACCAGATGCGAAGGTAGGCCTCGCCTGTGAGAGGTTGGAGTGCGAGCATGCCCCTGAGCGGGCCCGAGGTTGTGGCAACAAGGAAGAGGGAGGAAAGCTCACCTACGTCGTTCCTGCATACCGAAGGCTGTGTACTGAGATATAGCTGAAAAGGGGGGGGTAGTCAACCTGGCAAAGGCATAAGCCAAGCTCATCCAAACAGTGAAGGACAGCGAACACGGAAAGGGAGGAGAAGTTCGGGCAAGGAGGATACTTACCTGCTTCGGGCACCTGCGGATGAGAACGGGCCGTGTGTCACAGCGGCAGGTCGTGCTATAAGGACTCTGAACCGTGCTCACGCAGCAACAAACTATTTTTTTTTTGACTACTGCTGACGCTGTGTGTTCGAGGCACCGCTCGTCACCGGGCATCTGGGTAGGCTACTCAATTGATGAGCACATGCAGTTGTTGAGTGGCAGAAGGAAGTCCGAATATGAGTCGGGCTGTTGGTGGGAGGCGGTGACCGTATGCTCCTGATTGTGCGTACGAGCAGTCAGGCTCTTACCTGGAGCCCAGTCAGTGCTATCTGAAAACCAGACTTCTATTGCTTGTTGCGCACGACTGAGGTGCGCGCACCCGTTAGTAGGATATTGCTGTATTATATTCGCATCTGAGCAGAGCACATAAGAGGGTGCACCATATGAGTGCTACCTTTCTAGCCTGCGCACTGGCAGTCCGACCAAGGGGGTGAGGCGTCCAGATTTGGCGACATAATCATGCTGGTGGAGGGGATTACCGTTGCAATTTGAAGGTTCGCCAGGAGGGTCTGTGTCAACAATTTGATTTTGGTTCGACCAAGTTGCCGCGTTTGGGCCACCATTGCGGGGCCCTCAAGCGTATCCAGATAACAAGGCCCTTTCCAGCGAGTCTGAGAGCACCCTCCTTGGATCTGAGAGTTTGGAACCTACTCTTCCTACCTTTCTTACTCTTAAGAATAGTCCCCTGGTTCTGAGAGGAAGGCGGCAGGCGGGATTGCAACCCGTAGGACTGCACCAAGACTCTGTGGGGAGCCCACCCACCGA